AATATTTTATTCATAATTGCTTCAAAAGTTTCTAATTTACAGAAAAAAGTGGAAAAAGATAAGTTTCGCAAGTGTTGCGAGTATAAGTTTTTCAGTTTGAAATTTGGATTTTTTTTTGTGCAGCCAAATTTTTAAATTAGGAAAAGTTAAAAATTTTTATTTATACATATGCATATAATGAATAATAATTTAATTTTTTTACTGTTTTTGATTTTTGGTTTATTTTAAATTGTGTTTAAATATAAAATTTAAGACATCAAAAGAAAAATTTTTTAATTTGATTTTTGAAATTTTTCATTTAACATTTCTGGCAAAAATATAGATATTTCAGATTTTTCGCTTGAGTTTCAGTGTAAAACGTGAAGTTTTCATATTTTCTTATTCTGAACCGATGTTTAAAAAAAAAATGAATACAAAATTTTTACATGAGATTTCAAGTCTAGACACATTTTAATTTTTTTTTTTGAGTTTTGAAGTAATTTTTGTTGATTAAAATTTCTTTTGCAAAAATTTGAAATTGTTTTATGAAGAAAAATTTTAAAGAAACTACAAACGGCCAATCCTAAGGGTGCGTACACACAGAAAGCCGAACAGCTGGTGTTCACATTGAATGAAGAGGGCGTTTTACAAGTAATCAATCGTAAAAATATCAAAAAATTTACCGTCAATGGAAAGCAGCTAATATGTTTGTTCAATTTGTTTCAATTGCTTTCTCAAATTCTCCATTATTTATTTTAGTTTTTTGTTCGCATGAAGCTGAAAAATCAAAGAAGAAATTTGAAAATCAAAACATGCTTTGCTTTCAGCTCCAAAACGCTTCTGGAAAAGCTTGATGTATAGACATCATCATAGAGCTACTTGAAAGCTTGAAACGGCTTCGTTCGGCTCGACCCCGCTTTCTGTTTGAACGTACCCTAAGGTTAAAACTTTAAAGACAAGAATTCAAATTACTTGTGGGAATATTTCCAATTTATAGTGAAACATATGCATGCATATCGCTAGCTTAGAGTCCATTTTTTTTCTTAATTTTAGAGGAGAAGTCAAAACTTCTTATCACCATTTTCAGCAAGTATTTTGCAAAACCTTGACAACAAAATTTTTCATGTTTAAAGCAAAGCAAAACTCTATACGAACTCTTTCCATGAGTTTTTATATAAAAAAAAATTATTATATTTAATTTTCCACTTAAATAGCCTTCGTGAATATGGGCTATAAGAGTTTTCACAATTATTTTAACTCAACAATTTAAAAAAATTGAGTTCAAAAAACTTAAATGTAAAAAAAAATTAAATTGAAATTTTTTATTTGAATTCGAATTAAAAAATTTTATAATCTAGGGGTTTCGACTATATTAAGAAAAAAATTTCTAACTCAAATTTGACGTTCAAGATTTCAAATTTAGTATTTAGAACTATCTGCCGGTTATTTATATATTTAATATTCCACTTAACTGCTTTCCTTAAAGTAGATACAAAAGTTTTCACAATTATTTTAACTGAAAAAATTTTAAAAAATTGAATTAAAAAATTTAAAAATTTTTATTCTAGAACTCTTGGCATTATTTATTTCAATTTTAAATTCAATTTTTCAAGTTTAACTAGAAAAAAATCGCTTTAAATAAAACTACATAAAAAACAATTTTAGAACTGAAATTCTCGAACTTTCATATTATTTTTAATTTGGTAAAATTTCCAATTGTTACGAATTATTCCTCTAATAACTAAGATTTCTTTCTGTAATGATCGAAAAACTATTCAATATTTTTCGGATCTGTTTATGATTTCCCCCACTACATTAACATACGAATTTTGTAAGCCGCCGAACAAAGTCTCTAATGCAAGTTATATAACTTTTTTTTTGGTATTTAAGTTAAGGCAAATTATGCTGCTGTCACAAAGTGCTTAAATAAACCACGAACCCACTGAAATATGCTACTTGAAAACTTAAGTAAAATTCACTACAATTTTAAAACACACAAAAGCACTTAGATAGCCCACTTGAAATTAATCTAATTTGTCTGTTACACACTTCTTAGTCGTAATTTAATTAAACTTAATGCTATTACGGTAAATGCAATTTTATCTTTCACCTCTATTTCGTTTCTTAACTGCTGCTCTCGAATTTCTCATCACACATACACACACACACACACATAATGTACGAACAAACAGATTGGCTGCCTTGGAGATTAATAAATTTCAGGATCAATTAGTCAAGCGGCTTGTCATGGATTTGACGCTATCAACAGCGTCCACAACAACATCGAACGATGCATATTCAAGGCACCAGTATCAACAACAACAACAACAGCAACTACTTGCAAAACAAGAAAACAACTTTGGACAACAGCCGCCATCACAGCCGTACGATTATCACAGCATGGAACCGGCGGCTACCAGTAAACATTATGGCAATGATGCAACTCAACAGCGTCAACAACAGCAACAGCAACTAGAACGCTACTGGCAGTTACAGGCGGCAAGACAACGTCAATGGTTATTGCAACAGCAGCAACAACAATTTGAATGGAATTTCGCAACGTCCTTTCTGTACTCGCTGACCGTTGTGACGACAGTGGGTGAGTTCATACAAATTTTAGAGAATGTGTATAAGAAAATTAGTTAAAAATAATGTCTTCGCTTGGTTGAATTTAAAATAAAACTTGAGTTCTATATACAACCAATATATGTACATATGTCATGGTAAAGAATATGGTCTGCACAAACACTGCCTACATATGTATGTACACCTTGGTTCTTGAGTATATTTGCTTAGATAGAATCTGTTCTTTGGTTCTATAGAGTCCACTCGGTCGCCACAGAAGTTCGCTGTGATGCTCAGGAGTATTTTTTTTTTAATTCTACATGAAGTGCTTAAGCCGTTCCGAGCTTCAACGATTCCAGATTGTTGAAACCACTAATCGTTTGTCACATATATCTTCTAAGAAATCGGTTTCCAGTAGTCTAAGCCGCATACTTCAAAATAGTCGTTGTGTAAAATTTTAAACTTAACAATCTTATAGTCAAAAGTCTAAGGTTTCGTGTTCATTATTAACGAAGTGTGGGCCAAACAAATAGCCGTCGTCTGCAGGTGTTCAGATTAGTTCACTTGTCGGTCGTAACTTATTCCAAGAGTGAAACTTCTTTAGCGGCGGTTGGTTGGTTGGGAGTAAATTGGCAAATTCAACGGAAATTGCACAGGGAAATGGTGCAACGGAAATGGGTGGGACGGAAACAAGTGTTCTTGAATGTATGTTATTAATTTAATTTGTTGTGCTGCTTCATTGAAGGCTTTAGTAACTCATTGTGTAGATACTCTGCAATCATAAGGAGGCAACCAAAGGTATTACGCCGAACGGCTGGAGTGTCAACGGTTGCCGTTAATCAACTTAGTTTAGTAGAGTCCGGCCGATAGGTACGTAGGTGGAAAGTTGCAGCCCGGCGGACTGAGGGCCTTGTGTCTGCTACCGGGTTCATTACTTACTGCTGTAAGTTACGCGAAGTATAATACGAGGCTATTAAAAGTATAAGGGTGTTCAGTTTGTGCTTCGTTTCCTCAGTAAGAATTGTGTGAAATTGAGCCGTTGGTCTGTCGGCAGATAGTTTATAGTCTAGGGCAGTGAAAAATCTGCGGCGTGTAGGGCTAATTGGAATTCTTCAAGGTAGTAAGCGCAGTTTTGCAAAAAGGCTGAATGAGGTCGTCGATAGTATTCCGTCCTTCGTACGTTGTTAAATTCTTCTCCGTCCTGAGTTTTTGTGGCGAAATCCTGCCGGTAACTGCCTTCCGCGAAAGATGGGTAGTAGGACTGACGATGTTAGATCTCCGTTAAGCTCCGAATAACCGACGGTATGAAAAGGCTTCAACAAGTCCATTGTGCAGGCATAGAGCGATTTTCTTCGGGGCCGACCGCATTTAGTGGGTCAGCGATTTAAGATTTTACCCAATTTTGAGTGATTTAAATTAAGCAGCATTTCCTTCCAAGATCCTTCCATCAACTATTTACATATCAAATTTCTTCTCTCGTTCCAGGCTATGGCACTATCACGCCACGCACCACACTTGGTCGCATGGTGACCATTGTGTATGCCACACTGGGCATACCACTCACCTTGGTCTATCTCTCGAGCATCGGCAGCATACTGGCCAAGTTGGCGAGCGGATTTTGCGAGCGTCTGCTCTGTTGTTGCTTTTGTCGCGCATCCACAAATAAACGACACACAATTTGTGGCTTCAGCCGACAACAGGTCTCCGATCAAAAGTGCAATCTTAAGCTGCAACAGCTACAAAAACATCACCAACAACAGCAGCAGCAGCAGCAGCAACAGCATTCGACGAGTTCAGCAACGTCTGCGCAACAACAAACAGCGCCCTCCACGCAATCAGCACACTTGCCCTATTGCTACGTGCGTCCCCCGGCTGAGGATGCGCTCAGCTATGCCGCTGAGCACTCACCACTCTCCTCCGTACACTCTGGCCGCATGCGCAGCGGCAGCGCGCATACTCTACGCTGGTCCTTGGCGCTGCCGC